GTTCGGTATTCGGTCTGGCGTCCGACAGGGTTGTATCCTGTCACCCATACTGTTCAACTACGCTATTGACTGGATCCTCGGGAGGGCCCTACGCGACAGTGATGGCGTTGAATTTGCACCCGGACATCGACTGGCTGATCTCGACTATGCCGATGATATCGCCTTACTACCTTCCAGTTTTGGTGATCTGCAGTCTATGGTGTCACGGGTGAACGAGGTCGCTAAGTCAGTCGGTTTGTCCATAAACGCTGGGAAGACCAACGTATTCTCAAGCTGCATCCCTGACCAGGAGAAGGCACCCCTGGGGATTGATGGCTGTGAAATTGAAGAAGTGGACAGTTTTAAATCCCTGGGGGCGAGGCTGCTGCCTAATGAACAGAGTAAGGACGACATTGTCTCCCGAATCGATGCTGCCCGCTGGGTTTTTTCAAGCCTTCGGAAATGCCTGTGGAACCGACGTGACCTCTCCATCGCCTCTAAGATTCGCGAGTACCGTGCATCTGTCCGGTTCGTCCTTCTCTACGGTTGTGAATGCTGGGCTTTGCGTGTGGCGGATGAGCGAAAACTGGAGGTATTTGACCACCACTGCTTGAGGATCATCCTTCGAGTGAAGTTAACCGACTTCGTCTCAAATGAGATAGTTCGCGCTCGCTGCGACAACATAGCGAGGATAACTGAGGCCGTATCAAGTACAAGTACATCTACTGTAATAGTAAAAATCACATGAAGTAAATAGCATGCTGTGTAGGATTGGCAATTCGATAAATTTGCTTACCGCTTCTTTGGCGGGGGATAATTGTGGGCATGTGGCGGCAGGTATGGTGATTTCTGTAGTCCAAATAAATGTGGATGAAAATCCCTAAAGTTTGTACCTGACGAATGCTCCGCCGACGTGTCGGTCTTCCTCCGTACCGGTCCTGTGATCCATGAAACCACCTGATTGCTGTCCGTCGAAATATCTCTGTAGTGCAGTTGCCAAAACGGGTATGTTGGGCAATTGCATCTGCGCGTGAAAATAGACAACAATTGGACTTACCTTTAAGGACAGAAATAAGTGGACAGACCATGAAGGATATCTTCTCCTTGGATCCGCCCGCAGAACAAAAGTTGTGGCATAAGGGCGGGCCCAATAGAACCGCCAGTAGGTTTCTGATGAAGTCTGCCTCATTTCGACAACATACCATGGCCAGCTGCCGGGGCCGACCAACTGCTACCTGTGGAGTGATCGAGGTCAATGAGCACGACGTCATGGCTAACATGTCTCGTTTACTCGATCATACTGCAGGTCAGCGCGAAATGAGGCACGACAACCGAGTCCCTTCCAATTCTCAGACAGACAGACAGACATACTCAGGAGGACACTACAACCAAATCAACCCACTGTCAACAAGTCAAACCGAAAGCGTATCTGCTAAATCTTTACCC